ATTGTATACCTAAAATGTACCAATAAAAGAATTTAAGCAAAAAAAAAAAAAAGATAAAAACTCAGAGCTGCCATTATGATTCTATCATGCTGTTAATAAAATGAATCCCTTTATTAAAGAAAAAGATCTTTAATAAAAAGCAGTGTGATGTTTGCCTTTATAAACCTAGCACTGCTTTCAGATGAGTATGCCTTGTGATTGATTAGAGAACTGGTACTTTTTTCTTTTGGTACTGGTAATGGAACCCAGGGTCTTGTTCTCTACCACTGACTTAACATCTCTGTCCTTTTAAAAAATTTAAAAATTTTGAGACTGAGTCTGGCTGAATTGCCCAATCCTGATCCCAACCCCAAGTAGCTGGGATTGGATGTGAGGGCAATGTGGCTGCCACATCTGTCGCTCCATTGATTGCCAGGGTGGATTTGGCTGATGTGGCTGGCTAGGCAGGTGTTCCCTTCCTCCCTCACTGCTCCATGTGTGTCCCTCCCGAAGCTGTGCACTTGGTCAAAGAAGGACCACCCCCAATAGAGGAGGCTGTTTCCTTGGTCAAGGTTATACGAGTAGCTGCACTCCCCTGCTAGAACCTCCAAACAAGCTCTCAAATTGCTAGGATTACAGGTGTGTGCCACCATGCCTGGTGAGGACTGATAAATAAGTGTTGCCTTTCTGAATGTCATTGAGCAGTCCAGCATGATTGTGTGCTAACTGAAGATATGTTCTGATGTAGTTTTCAAATTTGCCCACCTCACTCAGGCAGTTAGCTAGCACATTCATTCCCTACCAAAATTGTGGCCTACTAAAGGGTTAGCCCAATTGTTTAGAAAAGGTTTGCAAATGTATATGATTATAGGGTAAGCAGAGAGCTAGGTAGTTGTGACCTTTTATGATAAAAGTCTTAATTTGGAAGAGTTTCTGTCTGGTACATACTTCTATATCATTGAAGATCTGTAGTTTAACTTTAAAAAATTTTTAGTATACGTGCTGCCAAAGCAAGTGCATATTTTTCTGAATTTTTCATTTATTCTGCCCCCACGCCCACAGGTATTTTTCACTTGTGTTTACTGGGGAGCAGGTTAAAATTTGGAAACCTAAAGTGGGAACAAGACCTGGGGAGCTAGAGCAGGAGCTGTGAGGTTTCATTTCTTTCCTAATAATGGAGATAATCATTTAGGGATGGAGAAGGACACACTGCCAGTATTTCTCCATGAGTCTGTCTTACTTGGGGCATGGTATAGCAGATGCCTTTTTTCCAAGGAATCCAGATTACTACTGAGCAAGTGTTCTCATGTTAAACCCATTTGTGGCTGATTCTTGCTATTAATTGTGACCTCGCAATTTCATCAACTGTAGGAATCTACTCTCATCATGTCTAGATCTTGTCGTTTTCTTGAAGTATAACTCAATTCTAAATGCTGCTCTCACTATGATTTCTGATTCTTCTACCTTATTCTCCTATTTCTTTTTCTGGTTTTCACTAAATCTGTCCTTTGAAGCCACCAGTATTGTCTTGCCCTTGCTTTGTTCTTTCACTTTCAGATTTTGTTCCTTTTTCTCTATTATCTGTGGATCTCTAGGGTCGGTCAGTCATTTCAACATTCTTGGGAATACCTTCAGTTGTTTCAACCCCTTGCCTTCTGCTCTTCTTGTCTCACCTGTCATGCTGGATTAACTTACCAGTTGTTTCCTGTGAAGTTTGATGCTCTTAGCAGAAGTAGAATAAGTGTGCCAGTTAACTGTTATAAATTGCTAATGTCCAACTTGAGGCAGCAACATTGAGGATTCATTTCTGTTCCCCACACGTGGTGTTTCTTTTTTTTACCTGGCCAGTCTCCAAACTTTCAACTAATGGTGTTAGAGAAATACAGAGGCCAAAAGGGATATGCTTGCTTTATTTTGTTTACTTTGAGATGCGTTCTGACTAAGTTGTCCAGGCTGGTCTTGAATGCTGGGCTCATGTATTCTTTCTGCCTCAGCCTTCTGGGTAAGTGGGACTACCGGAACCACCATTCCAAGTTTTTATTTTGAAATGTCTTTTAAAACTGTTAAAAGTCTGTTAAAATTCTTCTATTGTGCAACCACAAGGACCCAAGTTCTATCCCCGGGACCAAAAAACAAAAAAACAAAAAAGAACTGTTAAAAGTCTTGAAAAATTATCATGATTACAAACATTATTATTATTGTGTTACTGGGATTGAACCCAGGGCCTTTACACTGACCTACATCCCTAGCCACTTTTATTTATGTATATATTTATAAATTTTGCAACAGGGTCTCCATAAGTTTCCCAGGCCTAGCTGTAGCTTGTGATTCTTCTGCCTCAGCCTCCCAGATTACAGTTTTGTTTCACCATGTCCAGCAGTACAGTAGTTCTTACGTGATATCTAGGAGGGTTTTGGTGCTTTTGGAGTAGAAAAAAATGTTTAATCTTGGCACTGCTTTAGATCTCTTCCATATATTGCTAGCTTCCCCCCTCAATCCTCTGTTACTTGGTTTGACTACCACAAACATTTGGGAAAAAGATTTTGTACACTTAAGGAGCATTTTAAAAAGATTGTTAGGGCCAGGGATTTAGCTCAGTGGTTCCGGCGCCTGCCTCGCAAGCGCAAGGTCCTGAGTTCGATTCCCGGAACCCCCCCACACCCCCCAAAAAAGATTGTTGTGCTCAATTCTTGCCACATATATCCTACAGACCAATCAGTTTAAAATACTTACTTGGCTGCTATGCCCTTTTGTAGCTTCCCTTTCCCCAAGTAGATAGTCCCCCAACATACCTTGGTGCGCTAGTGTACACCAGACTTTTGGTGTTCATTTCCTCCCAATCAGGTTATGGTGTGGTTACCGTTCAGCTCAAAGAGCCATGCACTGTAATATATGGAGCAGATGTACTGTGATGTGGAGCATCTTGGATTTAGCAAAAGGACTGTTGAATAGTTAAAGATTGAGAACCACTGATTCATAAAATAAAATGTTTCTTCTTAAGAAAAAAATTAGTCTGTGGATCTGCCCACTGCCCCTTATTCTGCTTGATTGTTGGCTTCTTTGTTTTTTTGGTACCGGGGATCAAACCTGGGTCCTTGCGCTTGCACAGCAGGCAGCGAAACCACTGAAGTAAATCCCCGGCCCTGTTGGCTTCTTTTTGCTTTATACCTTATACTTAGTATAGAACTGTTTATCTCTTAAGACAGGGCCTTGTTGTGTAGTAAGCTAGCTTTGAACTCGTTATGTAGCTCATGCTGGCCTTGAGCTTGGGTATCATTCTGCCTCAGCCACCCAAATGTTAGGATTACAGTTGTGTGGCACCATGCCCATCTAAATATTGAACTGTTTTAAATGTATGTATATGTATATATGTATTAGACTTTGTTCCATTATCTGGGACTTCCCCTTGAGCAAGATCTCCTCCCACATAGTCAGAATTAATCCTCTAGTCAGGTTTGGTGGCATAGATGCTGTGTTTCCAGCATCTCAGGAGGCCGAGGCAGGAAAATGACAAGTTTGAAGCCACCTGGGCAAATTAGTGAGCCAGTTTTGTTTTTGTTTTTTGAGCCAAGGTCTTGTTATATGTTCCAGGATGGCCTTGAAGTTTCGATCCTCATGCCTCAGCCTTCTGAGTGCTGGGACTACACATGTGGATTATTTCACCCAACTGATAAGAGCACCTTGGGTTCAGTTCCCACTACTGCCGAACAAGGAAACAAAAAAGCAAAAAACCCCTAATCCTGACTTTAGGAAAGATTCTTTATATCACTATTTTCCCACTAGATTAGTTGCTTACTTTCTTCTTTATTGCTACACCACAGGTATGTCTAGGTTTGTATTTACTCTATTCTGTTGGAATAACTTTGTTTGGGATCAAGCTCTGGATCTTGCCTGGAACCACTGAGCTAAATCCCCAGCCCTGGAATAACTTTGGTAACAATTATATTCTGTAAAGGAAACACAAGTTTATTTTCTTATTTTTGGTTTTTTTTTTTTTTTTGACACAGAGTCCCACCTGTGTCATCCAGGCTGGCCTTGAAGTTGCACTCTTCCTGCCTCAGCCTCCTGAATGTTGGGATTATAGGCATGCGCCACCACGCCCAGCTGGAAGCTGAGTTTAAGAGCAGGAACTCTTTCTTACCTCTGATCTATAGCACATAGCACAGAGCATGGCATTATCTTCAATCCATTTTTGTTAAACTAAGTGTAACTGAGGCAATAGAATGGATATTTCAGTTAGAATATACTTGTAGGTACTAAGTAGGTTTAAGAACAACCTTCATTTCAATCGGTTTTAAGTATTTATAATAATTTTTTATTCTTTTGCATGTTTTCTTGGCTGTATGGAAATAGAGAAGAAGAAAATGAGGTAAGTGTGATTTAAGTAGGCATTCAATGATTATGGGATTGACCTCTATATTTTAGACACTGGGTAAAAGCTGAAAACATTTAAAAAGTTACAGTGGACCCTTGAATTACGACCCGCCTGACATATGAACAACTTGGGTTACGACTGGAATTTTAATTTTAACTTAGGAACAAAGTCTTGAGTTACAACCCGAATGCTGGCCGCTTGTGCTTCCAGATGGTCTCAGATACAGATTTAACCCTTAAAGAGTTCTAGAAGGAACATTATAACATCTTCTCCTGTGTGGGGTTGAGAAATCCTGGGCCAGTGTCTAAGGACACTAAGATCTATCTGCCTGTGTACAGGAGAGAGACTTTGAAGGCTACATAGAGGAGTCTGAGCCTTCAATTGACCAACTTGAGTTACAAGCATGCCTCTCGAATGAATTGAGTTCCTAAATCAAGGTTCTACTATAGAGCTATCATTTTGAGTGTGAAATGAAGTAATACTTTTTTCTTTGTTTTTGGAGCTACAACAACTCAATTCAGTGAGAAATGTGTATGCAATTCTTACCCACCCCCTTCCCTTGGTGGTATTGGGGATTAAACCCAGGGCCTTTGCGTTGGATTACATCCCTAGCCCAGTTTTTATATTTTGTTTTGAGACAGTTTTGCTAAGTTGTGAAGTTGTCTCTGGCTGTGCTTGAAGTTGTCTTCCTCTTCCTCCCAGATTTCTAGGTATGGGCCACTGTGCCCAGCTAAGAAAATGTTTTTTAAACATTAGGGATTCAAAAATTCTAGTAAAGGCTTGGGGATTTAGCTCAGTGGTTCCGCCGTCTGCCCCACAAGCACAAGGATCAGAGTTCAATCCCCGGTACAAAAAAATCTAGTAAAGGTTCAAACAAAGTATCTCTGCAGGCAGGTTTTAAAGTTTTTACCTATTGAGCTTCCATTTAAAATTTATTTTGGAAAATGGATTCTGTTTCTTAAAAGAATTTGAAAACTACTAGTTTATGATAATATTATGTGAAAACATTTATTTTCCCATTTGAATAGTTAGTATATACTTTGAAAACTGATTTTGGATTTCACTGTGTTGAATCGAATAATTACTCTTAAGTAGCCACAGTTGATTAAAGATTATCCATTAGAAAATTTTTTTGGATGGCAAGCACACCATCTTTAATTTAGTCTTGAGTTTGTAGCTATAGATTTTTCTCTATTTTTTTGACTCTGTAGGGAAAGTCTTGCTGGAAGGCTCTCTCCCTTTTTTTTCCCCCCCTCTTTGACCTAGGTCAGTGTTGTCAAACCTTTTAGAGCTTTCAGTGATACAAATAGCCCAGTGTGGCACATGTACCATAGGTTCACCATCACTGACCTAGGTTATCCCTTTTACTTCTTGTTTTTTGGTACTAGGGATCAAACTCAGGCCCTTGTACTTGTGAGGCAGGTGGTGGCACCACTGAGCTAAATCCCTGTCCCCTGTGTCTTTTTTTTTTTTTGGTACTGGGGATCAAACTCGGGTCCTTGCACTTGCACAGCAAGTGGCGAAACCACTGAGCTAAATCCCGGGCCCTGGCCCCTATGTCTTTTACTTTTAATTTGCACCATTTCCTTTGATGGTTTGGAAAATAATGGAGGGAGAAGTATCACTGTCTATCTGGTTGCTCATATAGTAGCATCAGACCATACACTAGCATTACCCAAGTGTGTGTGACCCAGGTAGAGACAGTGACAATGTGCCATGGCAAGTAATTTCTAAGAAGACAGAAGGCCTGGTCTTCATTTGGTTACCTTGTCTGTAAAATGAATGAGAGATGGGAGACTTCCCTATACAAGGGGTTTTCCTGGGCAGCTTTCCAGAATCGTTGATGGTGTTTGTCATTCCCCCCCCCTCTTTCTAAGAAATTAAAAACAAACACCCAAAACAAATGTTTTCGCTTCATCTTAGAGCTACTGAATTAATCCCCTAGAGTTTGGGGCACAGATCTATATTTTTATGATCCACCCAACTGATTGTATGTGATGCCAGCAGACCACAGGTTTTGTTGATCTCTATTGTTTCTTATCAGGTAGTACACAAGAACAAACTATCTTGCGTACTAAGATATTAGCTACTGCCCTTTATGTATATGTCCTTTACATACCAAGTCTTAAAAAAAATCTTATTGAAAAATGCTGGAAAATAGCTACAAAATCAGATGAAATATTTTTATGTAAGAAAAAGCAAGAATGGGAAAATATGGGTAACTGTTGAAGCTGGGAGTGGGTATTTAATGTTGTATTATACTGTTCTCTATGTTGTTGAATATATTTGAAAATTTCCATAGTGGTTGAAAAAAATCTGTAGCATAGTAAAATTCATCTTTTGTTACCAAAAAATTTTTTTCCTGATGATAATCATTTTAAACTGTGATGGTAGCCATTTGAAAGTACTACTATTTATTTAATAAGTAATTGTTTATTTCATTTCTTTTAGGCAAAGATTGAAAGTGTGCAGAAAACAGGTTTCATCAAAGGACCAATGTTCAAAGGTGTTGCTTCTAGTCGATTTTTGCCCAAAGGCACCAAGACAAAAGTTAATTTGGAGGAACAAGGACGACAGAAGGTGTCATTCAGCTTCAGCCTTACAAAAAAAACTTTGCAGAATAGGTTTCTTACCGCACTTGGCAATGAAAAACAAAATGATACTCCAAACTCCCCTGCTTTATCTCAAGGAGACTCAACTCCTAAAATTAAAGTGGACATTGGAGATACCTTAGCTACTACAGAAGAATCTTCCCCACCAAAATCAAGAGTGGAATTGGGCAAAATTCATTTTAAAAAACATCTGCTTCATGTGACTTCCAGGCCACTGCTGGCTACTACCTCAGCAGTAGCATCTCCATCTCCTCCCCCAGTACAGTTACCAGCAGTCATACCAGAATCAACAACTATAGACTCACCACCTTCATCTCCACCTCCACCACCTCCACCTCCCCAAGCCACAACACCCTCATCACCAGCACCAATAACAGAGCCAGTGGCCTCACCACACACACCAGTAACAGTTCTCACGACAGCACCACTATCCTTACCAGTAGATGTAGCAGTTAGAACTCTGAAAGAACCACCAGTTACACTTGTAAAAGAGTCTTTAGAAGTGGATACTAAGCAGGACATTATATCTAACAATTCAGAAGAACACATAACTCACAATCTGAATGATCAAGTAGATAGTCCTTCACCAAAAGAAGATTCCCATATTGGGAAGGAAGAAGATATTCCAGATAGTTCTAAGATTAGTCTGAGCTCTAAAAAACCGGTTTCTAAGAAGAAATATTCACAATTTGAAGGCTCATTTTTTGGCTCAGAATCTGATGAAGATTCTGTAAGGACTTCCTCCAGTCAAAGATCACATGATTTAAAAATTTCAGCAAGCATTGAAAAGGAAAGAGATATTAAAAAGAGCTCAGCGCCTTTAAAAAGTGAAGATTTAGGAAAATCTTCAAGGTCTAAAACAGAAAGAGAAGATAAATATTTTAGCTACTCAAAACTTGAAAGAGATACTCGGTATGTATCTTCCCGATGTAGATCAGAAAGAGAGCGAAGGCGGAGCAGATCTCGTTCCAGATCTGACAGGGGGTCTAGAGCTAGCCTATCCTATTCCCGGTCAGAACGATCTCATTATTATGACTCTGATCGACGCTACCATAGGAGTTCCCCTTATCGAGAGAGGACACGCTATTCTCGGCCATATACAGATAACAGGGGACGAGAGAGTTCCGACTCTGAAGATGAATATAAGAAGACATACTCAAGGCGCACCTCGTCTCATTCCTCCTCTTACAGAGACCTGAGAACATCATCCTATTCTAAATCTGATCGGGACTGCAAAACTGAGACCTCTTACTTAGACATAGAGAGAAGAGGAAAGTATTCTTCCAAACTAGAGAGAGAATCCAAAAGGACTTCAGAAAATGAAGCAATAAAAAGATGTTGTTCTCCTCCTAGTGATCTGGGATTCCGATGGGGGTCCTCATATTCTAAGCACGATTATAGTGCTTCCCGCTACAAATCTGCCCTTTCAAAGTCCATACCCAAGTCTGACAAATTTAAAAATTCTTTCTGTTGTACAGAATTAAATGAGGAAAGCAAACAGTCTCATTCTTCTAGTTTACAGACTCCTTGTTCAAAAGGTAGTGAGTTAAGAACTGTTAGTAAAATTCCTGAAAGAGAAAAGACTGGGTCTCCATCTGCATCAAATCGGTTAAATGATTCACCTACTTTTAAAAAGCTAGATGAATCACCTATTTTTAAGTCAGAATTTATAGGACGTGATAGCCATGATAGTATTAAAGAATTGGACTCTTTATCTAAAGTGAAGAATGATAAATTAAAAAACTTTTGTCCCATTGAATTAAATATAAACGGATCTCCTGGGGCAGAATCTGATGTGACAACATTTTGCACTTCTAAAACTGATGCTGTTTTGATGACATCTGATGATAGTGTGACTGGATCAGAGGTATCTCCTTTGGTCAAAGCATGCATATCTTCATCAAATGGATTTCAGAGTATTAGTAGGTGCAAGGAAAAAGACTTGGACACTTGCATGCAGCATAGTAAGTCACAAAGTCCATTTAAAGAAACAGAACCTTTGGTGTCACCATGCAGTGATAATATGTCTTTGCCAGTTATGACTACAGATTATTCTAAAACAGAAAAAGAGCCAGTTGATATGAGAGTTTCTTGCTGTAAAACCAAAGATTCAGATAGATATTGTACTGCAAATGAGAGTAACCCTTCTTTGTGTTATTCTGAAGCTGAAACTGTTGAGCCTTCAGTTACGAAGATTTCTTCAAATAGCTTTAAGAATGTACATTTGGAATCAAAAACAGTTGTATGTGATAAGAGAAATCTGACAGATCAGCACTCAAAATTTACATGTGAAGAGTATAAACAGAGTGTTGGTAGCACTAGTTCAGCTTCTGTTAATCATTTGGATGATTTATATGAACCTATTGGGAGTTCAAGTATTGGTTCATCTCTTCAGAGTCTTCCACCAGGAATAAAAGTGGACAGTTTGACTCTCTTGCCATGTGGTGAGAACACATCTCCAGTTCTGGATGGAGTGCTGAAGAGTAAAAAGAGCACAGAGGTTTTAAAGCATACAGGGAAAGAAAAAATAGTAGACGTAGGTAGTGGCTTTTCTAATTCAGGAAAGGCATTTGCCTCTTGGGAAAACAGGCATAATAATGGGCTATCTGGGAAATGTTTGCAAGAGGCTCAAGAAGAAGGGAATTCCATATTGCCTGATAGAAGAGGAAGACCAGAGATCTCTTTAGATGAAGGAGTAAGGGGGCATGCACATACATCTGATGACTCAGAAGTTGTACTTTCTTCTTGTGATTTGAATTTAACTGTGGAAGATGATGGTGTAACTTACACCTTAAAATGTGATAGTAGTGGTCATGCCCCTGAAATTGTGTCTACTGTCCATGAAGATTATTCTGGTTCCTCTGAAAGTTCAAGTGATGAAAGTGATTCAGAAGATACAGATTCTGATGACAGCAGTATTCCAAGAAACCGTCTCCAATCTGTTGTGGTTGTGCCAAAGAATTCTACTTTGCCTATGGAAGAAACAAGTCCATGTTCTTCCCGGAGCAGTCAAAGTTATAAGCATTATTCCGACCACTGGGAAGATGAGAGATTAGAGTTAAGGAGGTATTCATATGAGGAAAAATTTGAGAATATAACAAGTAAAGGCTGTCCTCAAACTGAAAAGTTCTTTTTTCATAAAGGTACAGAGAAGAATCCAGAAATTTCTTTTATACAATCCAGCAGAAAACAAGTAGATAACCACCTGCCTGAAATTGCCCATTCTCAGAGTGATGGTGTTGATAGTACAAGTCATACAGATATGAAATCTGACCTTCTGGGTCACTCAAATTCAGAAGAAATAACAAAAGCCAAAACATCCTTTAGGCAACAAGATGAGCTACCAGTTTATTCTGATGATTTTGAAGATATCCCAAGTAAATCTCGGCAACAGACCACTTTCCCTAACAGGCCAGATAGTAGACTTGGAAAAACAGAGTTGAATTTTTCTTCTTGTGATATCTCATGCATGGATGGCTTGCACTCATCAGAAGAGCTCAGAAACCTAGGGTGGAACTTCTCTCAACAAGAAAAGCCTACTACCACATATCAGCAACCTGACAGCAGTTATGGAGTCTGTGGTGCACACAGGTATCAGCAAAGTGCAGAACAATATGGTGGGAACCGTAATTACTGGCAAGGCAATGGCTACTGGGATCCAAGATCAGCAGGTAGACCTCCTGGATCTGGGGTCGCTTATGACCGAATTCAAGGGCAGGTTCCAGATTCCTTAACAGATGATCGTGAAGAGGAAGAGAATTGGGATCAACGGGGTGAATCTCACTTTTTAAGCCAGTCTAATAAATTTCTTCTGTCCCTTCAGAAGGACAAGGGGTCGGTGCAAGCACCTGAAATAAGCAGCAATTCCGTTAGGGACTCTTTAGCTGTAAATGAAAGAAAAGACTTTTCAAAAAACCTAGAAAAAAGTGATATTAAAGATCGAGGGCCTCTTAAAAAAAGGAGGCAGGAATTGGAAAGTGATTCTGAAAGTGATGGTGAGCTTCAGGATAGAAAGAAAGTTAGAGTGGATATAGAACAGGGAGGGACCTCAG